AGATGACCGGGAAAGGCAGCAATGCGCGATGAGGCGCCAAGTCGGCCGGAAATTAAAAGAAGAAGAAGAAGCCTAGGACATGTTGGAGCAAGCCCCGGCGATCCAAGATGGCGCCCTATTTAGATGAATGGTTGTGCTCAGTGGCGCTTTGTGACGGCATGGGGGCTGAAAGATTAGCGGAAGTCGCCTGGAACTCGCAAAGATCTATGGGAAACTTGCAAAGATTTATGGGAAACTCGCCTGTATTTGGGCATCGTCTGGTCCTCCCGGTTCTGCGCAGTGGACTATCTCCCATAATGCGTTGCGTCAAACACGTGTGTGTGGGTCTCACACCGGGTCTCACGCACGTGCACAGAGGGGCTCGGCTGCGCTCTGACCAATCAGAGCAGTTCATCAGAGCGGGAGTTAGAGTGAGAGCCAGACGAGAAGAGTTTGTGGCACTAAAGTGTGGATTTAAACAAAACCGAAAGATTTAAGAAGAAAAAAAGTTCAGGATGACAAGGGACACTAAAATCCCCACAAAATCCGACCTTTATGAAAGCTGTAGGTTCTCTGTCAGCTGAGGTTGAGCTGTTTTAATATGCATTGAGTTCTATGGGGAAAATTTCTGGGTAGCCCACGTGAATTTAGTCTGGTCTAGGCTGCAGTACCGCGAGAATCCCCTGAGCACATGAGTTATTCACAGTGATGGGAATAACGGCGTTACTAGTAACGGTTTAACGCCGTTACTTTTTTCAGTAACGAGTAATCTAACTAATTACTTTGACTGTAACTATAACGCCGTTAGCATTTCCGACATCCCGTTACTGCGCGTTACTCAAGACGCACAGTGAACTTCTCGTAGGACTCGTGCGCGTGTTGTCATGAGAGAAGGGAGGATGAGAAAACCTCTCAGCAATTATTGGCTGATGTAAAACATATTTCCTTTACAATCTACATGTCTACAGTTGAGAGGATAGCTCATAAATTGTGTTTTTGAAACAAATGGGTCTTAATCACACTCTACCACGGCTTGTATCACCGTGAGGCCAGCCTCAGAGGAGCGCATGTGAGCGCAGAAGTCGGCTGCATACAATTCAATCGATAAGCTCCTTTCTCCTCCTGGTTTATCTGCTAAGGACAGCAACAGGTTTTGCTAACATACATATAACGGGTGCGTACCGATGTTCCCCGGGTCCGATGTTCCCCGGGTCCGATGTTCCCCCACTTCTATAGGCGGGGGAACATCGGACCCGGGGAACATCGGTACTTCGCGTATTAAAAAGTCCCGATGTTCCCCGGGTCCGATGTTCCCCCGCCAATAGAAGTGGGGGAACATCGGGACTTCAACAACGAGACTAGTGCCGCTGTTCCCCGCGTGCGCCCTTTGATGTTTGATGTTTCCTCCTCCACGAAAGATGGCATATGATCCGCGCCAACTTTTGTGAGAGAAAAAATACTAACTAGCCTAAGCCTATTTACTTTTCTTTTTCCCTCTCGCTCTTTGTGTGCTCATATTTCAGCTGATCGCAGCTTGAGTCTATGCAGGATATTTTTGGGCATGTTATGGGCATGTTATCTCCCCTTGCTCACTCTCCCATGGGCATCTATATTTGACAAGTCTGACTGAATAAAATGAGGACGATTGAAACTAGAGCTACTACATCTGTTAGCCTATAGTTTTTCCAAATACGTGGTTTTGCTGAGGGCACTGTGCTTTTACGCATAATGGACACGCATATGACGTCGTTTTTGTTGTAAAACTTGAATATGCTCTTTTAGTTTTAGAGATATTAATACATATTATTCTATTCAGAATGCGTGCGTCATTGTGCATTGTTGTCCCGCCTTACGTGTCACTCACAGTTAAAATGTAAATAACCAATTCAAACATAGCATTTTTACAACTTGAACTTTAAGAAAAAAATGATCAAAGGAATCAGTGTAAAATAAGATCGGAAAAGCTCAATTCATGATTGTTTAATTAGGTTTCCCATTTTTAAATACAATTGGAAACGCTCAGAATTCAAAAATATTGAAAAGTGTATTGGCTCCTACAGTGGGGGGAATAATAATAATAATTATAATAATAATATAACCCCCTGAGCGTCATCACGTTCCTACGTTGCTTCAAATATAGTCCTGTTTATTGGCTGAACAATTTTGTCCAATATCATATCACACAGCGTGAAGCGAGAACAACCAGCTATTCCTCGTCTTAAAGATTGACAACGCTCTCAAAGCATTCACAACAGAGCAGCCTTTTTCATTTTAATTTTAAGAAAGTTCAGCGTGAACTTTGTGAGGTAGAGTAGCCAGAGGCCCGGGCCCGTAGGTCCCAGAGGAGGAGAGCACGGTCAGGCCAGGCTCGCCTTGCACTGATGAGGTAAACTCTAGGCCTGTGTGTGAGACACACTGTGGGCCTCACTGTAGGCCTCACTGTGGGCCTCACTTTGGGCCTCACTGTGGGCCTCATGTATGAAACCTGCGTACGGCCAAATCAGGGTAAATGAGGCGTACGCAAAATATTACACTTTTCCGCATTTATCTATCTGGACGTGAGCGTACAATACGCAAAAAATAAACGCCAGGTCTGGAGGTGGTGTAAATCTATACGCTGAACTCAACCTTCGGCACAACACGCATGAAATTCAAGATATGTACAACAATAAACATATTCCCTCTGGCAACATTATATGCTGTGTTTTCATTGAGGATCATGTTTCAAAATTTGAATTTGCGCATCAGAAAAAGTCTAATGGAAACACGCAAACTTCGAATAAATCACAGCTCATGAGGACACTCTATTAAATCTGACTTGTGTGTGTATTATTTTGATCTGTATGTTTTTAAAATGTGAAGCGCTTTGTGATCCTGGACAGTGAAAGGCTCTATATAAATACACTTTACGCAACAGGGATGTGTGACCCATCTATTGCTGTGGCAGGCTCTGCGCTGCGTAATTACGCACGGCTATTTGTATTCCTCATTCACATCTGGTAAAGCAATGTGTTATTTCATTAGATTTGTGTAAGCCTCACACAGACACACACCCCAATAACGCATCGATGGTATTGCTCACTCAAACGTCTCACTGCCCTGTCCAGAGTGCGCAGCGAGTGCCGTGAGAGGTCGCGCCACATGTGCAGAAGTTTTGGCTCCAGAGTTTCTTTGTGAAATCTGGACCGCAAACGCTCTCTGAAGTGTACAGCGCCTCAATGCGCACTTCTACCCCGAGCCAGGCTGCGAAGACGCTGCAGACGCTTCATTCATGAGAGCCACCGCTGCATAATATATATGAATTAATTCATTCATTCAATCAATCTATATTTATTCACTTCTACAATTCAATAAGGATTTTTCTAATGTATCAAAAGATTTTGGCAAATTGCGTAAATGGAATATACACCCAAAATGTACACCTTTTTCAACGCAAGTTTCATAAATGAGCTTGTGTGTATGTGCGCGCGTGAGTGCGTGTGCGTGCGTGTGTGCGTTTGAACCATATTCTTTGAAACCCCAATTCCAGTTAGCCCTTGTAGTTTGCAAGCGAATTTGGCCTACTTACTAATCTGCAGGCCTACCCAAAATAGACTAGTTATGAGCGAAAGCCGCTTGTTGCTCCATTATCCGCGCGCAGCAATAACATGTCTATGAGCGAGGCCCGCAGTTTTTCGCGCAGCAATAACATGTCTATGAGCGAGGCCCGCAGTCGGGGACCACCGGGCCCTCCGGCGTTTGGAAGGTCCGATGTTCCCCGGGTCCGGTGTTCCCCGCCCCCGGGAACTCCGGACCCGGGGAACACCGGACCCGGGGAACACCGGACCCGGGGAACATCGGACCCGGGGAACATCGGGCCGACCCCCATATAACATATTTTAAGATAATTTAAAATGCACTTAGGGTAATTTTTCAATGACTATAGGAATGATAAGAAAGAGAGGTGAAGTGTAAGATGGTTGATTTTAGAAATCGGATGCACCCGGCTTCAGCTAGCAAAACAGAGGAGTTTATGGAGGACACACGCGTTTTGTTTTGCTTTTTAAAACTAATTGGACTCATTTACAAATGGAGGATTACATATCTACGCTCAAACTATTATCTGGACTTAAACACAGAACTGGTCTGAACTGAAGTGGCCTGTGCAGGCCATTTATAAGGTAAGACCCATAACTCTTAGTTTTGCGTTTTGTATGAACAAACAATGCGGGCATGAAACATATTCTGCTGTAGCCAAACAAATAAGCCGCTTTCTAGGTCCAGTTGATTTCTATGATATATATGTTCATCTGATTGGGCTGAAGTCAGTGCTTCACCGGTGTTTCCACATTCACAGTGGCGGGTGTTGGTGTTTAGTGCTTACAGCACAGAGAGAGATGAAGAGTGAACTGGACAGCAGCAAAACAGCCTTTTCTAGATGGAAATATTGGCAATATTTCAGACTCACTGAGGTTAAAGGTAAAAATGCGCACGTCGAGTGCACATTATGTTCCAGAACAAAACGAAAAAGTAACGCAATAGTTACTTTTACTGGTAACTAGTTACTTTTATAGTGGAGTAACTCCGTTAGTAACTCAATTACTTTTTGGGAGATGTAACTAGTAACTATAACTAATTAATTTTTCAAAGTAACTTGCCCAACACTGGTTATTCAGCTACAAGCTAGTAACACCCTATCCAGTTAATATAATAGATCCATGTGTTGGAGGCGTTGTGAATAGAATAATTAACAGGAACAAGAAAGACTATTTGATGGCTATTGGTTGGGTATAACTATGTTCAATCTCTAATTATAGATTATACATGCAAAAAATATTATTCAATAACTGCAGAAAAACTGGGAGTTTTGGACGTAAACACATCACGTCCAAAACGGCTGTCTGTAGTGCTATCAATTGTACGGGCTTCTAATACGTGCTGGAATGGGTGAATATAACTTTAACTACCCCCAAAACTCTTGAAAAACGAAATGCCGCCTGCTGCAATTAATGGTAACTGGCACTTGCGCTCCTCAGCAGCAGATGGCGCTGCTCTGTAGTGTGTGTACTTGGACCTCTCTGCTTTATTTCCGCCGCCTCCTTCTGCTTCCTCCCAGTTTCCACCACATGGCGTTGAAACCTCACGGCGAAGCTCCAGTCTTCTCCGCGTGTGCAGATTCGTACGCCATGTCATTTTAATGTGTGTCTTATGTCTGTTTCAAACCCTACACACTTCACCATGACAGAGGCGAAGACGGAGGTCCCGCTGACTCCAAAGCTGCTGGCCCTGGATCCGCAACAGGAGAGTGAGTTCAAGAAAAAAGTGCAGCAAGCCAAGAAGAATAGGGCCAGCAAGGTAAAGGTCTGTACACCCCTTTTCACGTTAGGTCTAAAAATGCATAACGTGAAAAGTGGTGTCTAGACATACTTTATGTGACAAGTCAAAAATACATGTGAGAATTAGTTATACATTTTATACATTATATATTTTTAAAACAATTTTTGTGTGTGTTAAGATTTATAAAAGTGACACTAAGCTAATCATTGACATATTTTGAACGAACTATGCACTAATGGCAGATGAGTCCATATGTTCTGGTAATCATATTTTAGATTTTATGTGCTCACCATATAAAGACTTTTGTTCCTCTGTCCTCTCCAGGCGAGCAGATTCGCTCCTGGTGTCATCTATGTGGGACATCTACCTGTGGGTTTGTTTGAACCACAACTAAAAGCATATTTTGAGCAGTTTGGCAAAGTGCTGCGGCTTCGTCTGTCTAGGAGTAAGAAGGTAAGACTCCTGTATGATGTGGGCACACTCGCTGGCTCAAACTGACAAAGGCTTTCAATCTAAAAGCGGTGTAAAGTCTGATACTTAAGCCTGAAGCGATGTACATTAAACGTATTGACTGGCAAAGCGATAAAACCCATGTGCAGACAGACAATACTACAAATATTCTTTAAAATAGTCTTTGATCTTTTTTTTTTCTTTTACATTATTCTGGCACATACCCTTAGACTGTCCAAATGTTGTTTTTCTAACTGGATGTGATATTTGGGGATGCACAATTTTGCCTATATATATTTTCTGATGCTGTCAGAGCCTGTTAGTCAATTACTGCACTATTGCATGCCGAAGGTATCTTCCCTCATGTTTTACCTGTACATACAGCAGTAAATGTTAGGCCCATTCTGTAATCCAAGTCATTATCATACAAGAAAATTAAAAAGTTCCCAGACATCTTATCTGTGGTGAAATCAGACACATCGGTGTGTGTGACGTGGCACATGTTTGTTGCGTTGATTTGCATATTGTCACCTAGATCCATGGGTGTCCAATTACTTATCCAGGCTACGTTGTTGCAATGCTTAATATTGGTATATTTGATAATTGTAGATCCTGATGTGTGTGTTTCAGACTGGTGGAAGTAAAGGCTATGCCTTTATAGAGTTTGACTGTGATGAGGTCGCTCGGATTGTTGCAGAAACTATGAACAATTACCTCATGGGGGAGAGACTCATTAAATGTAAGCTGAAATATATTTGCAACAAAACCAGCGCTGAAAGAACTGCCCAAGACCGTAGATAAGCTATGTATTTTCTCCAGGCCATGTGGTTCCACCAGAGAAGGTGCACGAGGAGCTGTTTAATGGCTCTCAGAGGGGGTTCAGTAAGCCCTCTTTCCCCGCTGTCTCCCGCTACAACAAGCCTCATTCCCAAGAAGACTTGGTGAAAATGGGAAAGAACCTGGTGCGCAAAGAGGTCAAGCTCCGGAAGCGCCTCTCAGAGAAGGGCATCGATTATGACTTTCCCGGATTTGTAAGTTCTAGATTCAATTGTTGGAATATTGTGTGTGTGATCTCATGCTTATCTATTTTGTTATAAAAGTATTAACCTTTGTTGTATACCAAATTAGGCGGCCCAAGTTCCCCACAAGAAGAAGCCAGAAGCAGACATATCAACTCTCAGTGTAAGGATATGTTTGTATTCTACTTAAAGGAGCTAGACCCGTTTCTGCAAGGTTTTTTCAGTTTGAATGTTTAGCACCAACTCGCTCACAGGCTTCTCATTTCTCCTACGCTCTCATCCCATGGAGTCCTCTAGTTTTATTTGCGATCTGATAAGTATGCAAGCATTAGCGCAACTTCTTGTAAGCTGTACAACAATCACTGATGAAATGGTACAAAAGCAACACACTAACAAAATATATAACTAAAATATTACAGCTAATTTCCTGTCCAAATGTTGTCCGGGGAGGTCCTGCAGGTCTCGCCAGGTCTCACCAGAGGACATGATGTAAGCTAACACTACGTATATTCACCCGGGCTTGATTTCTTATTTGATCATTTTATCGCTTTAGTTACCTCTTCTCTTCCTGACGGTTGCGTCGTTTGCGCTGTGTATGCAGTTACAGCCAGAGGAGCTATAGCTGCTATCAGCTCCATGCTGCTCTTGTTTACCTGCACTGTAGACGCTAGAGGCAGCATGTTCTTAACCGCGCCGCTCCTCGTTCTGTGAGTGGAGAAGTAGCACTTTTTACGGCCTGAATTCATGAGCTCAAGTTTTCAATTATATTAGATTTTTATAAAACTTTTCTGTTGTAATACGCATTTTTGTGAACTCATTAGAAAATTAATCGGGTATAGCTTCTTTTAAAGGCGGTGTGCACAGACTGAAAATGGCCCGTGGTGAGTCTGTGACCAGGGGCCAGACAACTGTGCTGACATTACACTGGTGCGTTAATGCTTATCGCGCAGGATGCGTGTGTCAGCGTGATAAAACCAATGTACCAACAACACACACGGAGGAGGAAGAGAGATGACTATCAAAGAAAATCCAGTTCTATTTATATTGTCTTCCTATTCTGAAATGTGCAATGCCAAGTAAATTCAAAGGTGGATTACCTCACTTTGTTGACTTAACAAGAACATAGTATTTTCTTAAACATTTTTGAGAAAATCTGACCACAAAAATTCTTTCTAAGTAAAAGATCAAATGCTTTCTTATAATACCAGCCCTCAGACTCTGAAAAACCTAAAACATGCATGGATGTGAAACTTAGTGATAGAAGTCAACTGTGACAGTTACTTGTTTATTGAACAGTACTTGCTGGACTATTGAGTGCACCTGTTAAACGGCACCAACTATATTTGGAAAAATTTGATTTTGGCCACACATGGCCCACAATTGAAGCTGCCGGTTTTTATGCTACAACCAGATTTGATAAACATACATTGGCTACAAAGGGTTCAGTAGCAGCTTATCGGCCGGTTTCAAAGTAGTTAATTTTCGCTCTTAAAGCTAAAGTACACAACTGATATTTGTGTAAATGAAATGTTTCCAGGACACAACCCCCGTCTGCACCCCGTCGTTACTGGAGAGGAGGAAGTCCATGTTGGTGGATGACGAAGACGATGACGAGGTCACTGTGAAGATGCCTCAAAAGTACAAAGACGAGGAAGAAGAGTCCTCAGAGGAAGAGGAGCAGGCTAAGAAGGGAGAGTGACTGCTGATGGAATATAGGCTTAAACCAAACTCGTCTTATGCAGACAGCAATGGGACTGCTTTGTGTCCCCTCAAAGGGTACAATATTGAATACATGTGAACTTTGTATTATAATTCTGACTGAATAAAATGTCAGTTTTACTTAAGCCTGTGGATAAGGTGTAAGATTTAACTGAGTAAATAAGGGGTTGTCTTTTGATAATCAGGGCTGTTAACATGAATAATAAAGTAGGCTAAAAATAATATACAGTGCTAATCTAAAACTCCTTGTTAACTGCTTTTTCCACCCATCTACCCCTTAATCCATTTCTGGGTCGGGGGTGGCAGTCAAGAGATGCCGACTAGGGTTTAATATTTTTCCCGAATATGAGACGTATCAAATCCCGGGAAAAGACGGCGCGTTTCCCGGGAAATCCCGGGAAATAGCTGTTGTTTGTAGTTGTTGTTTTTAGCCCAAGTAATGTGTGATATCACTCAAATATATAATCCAACAAAAGCTGCCGTCTCCACTAGTATTTCACCAAGCGACTTGCTAGCTTTTCTAAAGTAGCCATAGCGTTTTCAGACGTTTTGTTGATGGGCTTTCTTCAGGAATTTCACTATTATGAGATTCTAAATGTCTGCGCAATCCACTTGTCGACCAGTGACGTGCGGTGTGGTTTGGAGGCACTGACTTCAGCCCAATCAGATGAACATATATCATATAAATCAACAGAACCTGCAGAGCGGCTTATTCACAATTAGTTTGGCTACAGCAGAATGTTTTCCATGCCCGCATTGTTTGCTCAAACAAAACGCAAAAGTTCGTAAAAGGCACATTTCCAATTGTGTTATGGGTCTTACCTTAGTTATTAATGAACAGCACAGACCACTTCAGTTCAGACCAGTTTCATGTTTAAGTCCAGATAATAGTTTGAGCGCAGATATGTAATCCCCCATTTGGAAATAAGCCCAAAAAGTTTTAAAGCGTAAAACAAAACGGGTGCCACCTCCATAAACTCCTGTGTGTTCGCTGCAGCCGGCTCTCGGGCGCATCCAATTTCTAATATCAACCTTCTTACCCTTCTCCTCTCTTCCTTATCATTTCTATCGTCATTGTAAGCAGAACATTACCCTAAATGCATTTTATATGATTTTAAAAAAGTGTTATCTGTATGTTAGCCAAACCTGTTGCTGCCCTTAGCAGATGGAAAAAAAGAAAGGAGCTTTCTGATAGAATTGGACGTAACCAAATTCTGGGCTCACATGTGCCCCGTACCCTGAGCCTGGCCTCATTACAAGTCGTGGTTTAGCGCGATTAAGACCCATATTTGTTGTCAAAAACACAATTTATGAGCCATCCTCTCAGCTGTAGACATGTTGATTTGTAAATGAAATATGTTTGAACTTTGAACAACAATACACGTGCTTTATAATAGGAGCGCACTGTATTTTTTTTTTAACTTTCATTTCCCGTTTCCCGTCATAACATTTCCCGGGAATCGGGAAATAGTTTTCATCAGATTTCCCGGGAATCCCGTATCCCGGGATTAAACCCTAATGCCGACCAAGTCACAGCACCAGTAGCCTGGTTGTACCATACCTTGGTACAAATTTCATTTCATACTAAGGTCTGGATTTGCTCCATTGAGCTCCATTTACAGGTGGGAGGGGTTAACTCCTTTTGCAGATTGAAACGATTGGATCTGAGTTTACCGTGACGTATGTAATGCGCCCGAGTGAGTTGTTAGCATTTAGCCTAGCCATCTCCTTTGCTGCTAACGGAGCCCGTGGGGAGTAGTGCCACAATCTTGACCAGCGATTACATTTGCTAAACATTCCTCTTGCTCCTGCTTCAATTTCTTGATAGAACCAGACCGGATTACTTTACTATCGCATTCTTCGCCATTGCCAAACTACAACCTGCCCGTTCGGCGCAAACTCTTGACGTCACCGGCACTGACCTACAACGCGCTCTGAGTAGCTGGTCGAAATACGTCGGATTGTATTCGCTAACACAGGGACCATACCCAGACCGTTACATGCAGTGAAATGATAATTGAGCGGAGTGTACGGATGGCTATGGCCAGGCTACAGCACCAGTGCCTTGCTGTTCCTCCTGCAGGTGGTGACTCCACAGGCGGAGGCGTCCCTTGCCATTAGGCCCCCCTGAGGGCCTACTGATTTGACACAAGCAATCGACAGCTACCTGCGTTGACGGATAAAAACTTTTCGTCTGATGCAAAACTTGCCACGTTCTTCATATGTATTTATTGTGTGGCCAAATGAAAGAATACATTTTGTAGGATTAATACTTTGATGGGTAGTTTTTGTTATTATAACATGAGTGTAGTGAACAAGCTTATAAAAAGACATGCTGAATTATTTCTCATTGCTTTGTGAGTACTTCAGTGCACACAAAGCAATTTTCTATGGTAGACTGTACAGTATGCCAGGCAGGTCCCAGGCCCCTATCCATTGTTAAATTTATTTTAATTTATATTGATGTAAACAATAGACATTGCATTTTACCTCATTAAATATATATTTATACTTACTGTAATATAAACCTTTTTATGTGGTCTGTATCGGGACCACGGGGTACCCTTTGAACGCCACTGTCCACAGGAGCCTTGATCTGTCTTGTTCAAGGACACAACTGCAGCAGACTTAGTGGGAGTTGGTGAAGGTCTCATGAGCTTGAACCCACAACCTTCAGGTTCAAAGGCCAATGCTCCAGCAACTCGGCCACTGTCGCCCCGTCATTGTTAAAAACAGCTTTTTCCTCTGGGAATAATACACTTCTGTACACAGTACATAATTACAAGAGTTCCCTTCAACCTGGTTTTCTGCAACGATGGTGCTTTAGGGATCACGAAATTATGAATTAAAAAAGGATAAATGAACCACATAATGTATTCAAAATCATGTGAATGTGAAAGAGCGATGAGTTCATTTGCAAAACAAATGAAAAATATGTAAAGCAAAACATGCATATTTGCACGTTTTTGGCTGAGCACATGACTAGGCTGGCTAGTAGAGTGGAGTGGTAGAGTGGTCACTATGACGCTTTGAGCTGAGTGAGGGTGCACTCAGCTCAAAGCGTCATAGTGACGCGCACAGCTTGATCTGACAACTTACAAAACATGTTTTCTAATTGGGTGAAGACTGATTTGTTCACATCATACAAGTCTCAAGAGTTGGACATGTTTAATATTCATTAGAAAGCCAGCTTTGAAACACGCACATGCACAAACTCTCCACCAGATGTTGCCAAACCCTAACCTTTCCACACAATTTCCCCTATTGACATGCGACAGTTCTCCAAGTGCCAACATCATCCAGGGGTGAAGTGCGCATGCGCTGGGCGATCCCATTCTTGTCCTGCAGGCAACATTCTGGGTGGAGAGCGAGAGAAAGACAAGGGGAGATTTCACACTGGACTACTGTATACTCCCCGTGCTTAAGAGGCTCTAACGTCTTTTTTTTTTAAAAAACCAGACATGGTGAGTGATCTGCAGATACGATCGTCTCTTCTCACACCACTATTTTGTCTTTGTTTGCGGTGCCTGCCCTGTCTGTAATCTGACGTTTCATTGAATAGAAAGGCTTCGCTTGGGGATAGCTTTAGCTTTCAACACTCCACACCCACTTTTAGGGACAAAAGGTTAAGCTGTTATTAAATTTTAAAGTATTGGAGAAATGTGTGTTTGTGTGTATCCCTGAGGGGTGGAAATACAATGTGTGTTTGGAAAGCTAGCGTTAGTGTCGGGCATTTGTGATGTGAGCCTTGAGCTAGCCTAGCAGCAGCCAGCTAATATTGCACAAAAACCCTATATGGCTTGGTGGGGTGGGAAAGGATCAGACACCTGTAATAACACTTATTGTGTCAATTGTGTAACGAGTATCCCTATGTTTTTATGGGTTTGTGTTGATAGCGGCATCCATGGCACTGTCGATGGAACAATCCCAAATACGTGCAGTATAAACGGTCAAGAAGATTGTTTTTTTATTTTGCAACTATCTTAACCACTATACCAGTGATGTCCAAACTTTTGAGTATTAAGAGGGCTACTTTAGTTAACCAGACTTGTCCAGGGATCGATGATCTGGATTGTGAAACGATTGTTTTGACTGGATTTGGGCTGTTCTGAGCTGTATAATTCGGTATGACCGAGCTGAAGTTGGCTGAATGTCAAATGACCATTTACAGAACATTGTGACAACACTAGAAACAAATGTCAGTGCATATAATTAAAGTCAACTAGATTCCAGTTATGCGCATGCCTCTATTGACTGAGCTGAATTTGGCTGGATAACACTGAACTTGTGTTTCTGATTTCAAAGACTACTTTGTTTTAGTGGCAGAGGGCCACAATTGGCCCGCAGGCCTTACATTGGACATGCATTGGCTATACTAAATCAAAGTGACGCAGAATGGAAATGGTAAAATAGTTGCTGCGCTGTTGTCCAATGGAGCTGTCAATAATGGATAGTCATATTGCTTCTACTGTATAAGTGAAGCTTAGTCACATGGGATGAGCCTTTACTTCTCCACGTTTAGAGCATAGACTGTATATGTTTAGAGGCGCAAATTGAGGTGGCTCGGGCATGTGTTTGGGATGCCTCCCTGACGCTTCTGCAGGGAGGTGTTTTGGGCATGTTTCACTGGGAGGAGACCAGGGGAAGACCCAGGGCACACTGGAGGGCAATGTTTCTCAGCTGGCCTGGGAACACCTTGGGATTCCCCGGATGAGCTGGAGGAAGTGTGTGTTGAAAGGGAAGTCTGGGTGTCTCTGCTTAGACTGTTGCCCCCGGGACCCGGGAATGGATAACGCAGATATGGATATTATGTATAAATGCATAATATGAAGGATTAACAAAAAAAATACAATAAAAACATCTTTATCAACTGCTCCATCATAGCAATATTCTAGGATTTACTAGGATTTCTTTAATAGGGCTGGAAAGCGGAAGTGCGAGATTTTGCGAGATTTCCACCCGCGGATACAAACAAACCAC